TTTGGAGGAAAGATTAGTGGTTGCCAGAGCTTGGGGTAAGAAGGAAGGAGGTGTGGGTATAGAAGGATAACGTGAAGGATCCTTGTTGGCACTGTGGAGTATCTTGACTGATGTACACCCTAACCACAAATGAGTGCAAGAACGCTTGGAAAAATCTGAGTAAGAGTATCCAGGCTGTTACATTATATTAGAGTTTTGCAAAACGTTACCATCGGAAGGAACTGGACAAAGTGGATAAAGGGTTGTTCTATTATGATTTTTAAAGAAGATTTATTTATTTGAAAGGCACAGTTACATACAGATAGGCAGAGTCGGGGAGGAGGGGAGGTCTTCCATCTGCTGGTTCACTCCCCAGAAAGCCACAATGGCTGAAGCCAGGAGCCAGGAGCTTCTTCAGGGTCTCCCATGTGAGTGCAGGGGCCCAAGCACTTGGGCCATCCTCTACTGCTTACCCAGGCCATAGCAGAGGGCTGGATCAGAAGTGGAGCAGCTGGGACTAGAACCGGAGCCCATATGGGATGCCAGCACTGCAGATGGTGACTCTACCTGCTATGTCACAGCGCCAGCCCCCTGATTTTTTTTTTTAATCAGTCCAAGTGATTCTATGATTATCTAAGTAAAACTTTCACTTAAAACAAAACAAAACAAAACAAAAAAACGGGGACTAGCATTGTGGCCCAGCAGGTCGAGCCATCACTTGCCATGCCAGCATCCCACATTCCACCCTGCTTTGTGCCTGGGCAGCCACGAGAAGATGATCCAAAAACGTGGGCCCTTAACATTGACATGGCAGATCCCCAAGGAGTTCAGTGCTCCTGGCTTCAGTCTGGCTCAGGCCTGGCCATTGAAGCCATTTGGAGGAGTGAACCAGCAGATGAAACATTCTCTCTCTCTCTCTCTCTCTCCTCTCTCTCTCTCTCTCTCTTGATCACCCTGTCTCTGTCACTCTGCCTTTCAAATAAACACATTTTTAAATAAAAAAAGTAATTGGTTCTGACATTTTTTTTAGGTGAAAAAAGATGTATTGCTTCCATCTGCTCCCACGAGAGTTTGCTGCCTCGAGTTTCTACTATTTGCCTTTTTATCACAAAATGGCAAGAGAAACAGCTCACCTGCAAAATGAAACAAGTCCCTGGGGTGACACATTACAGTTATCTGAAACTTACCCACTGGCTGTGTTGTGTCTCCTATGAGTCAGCAACTGGGTTTTCAAGTTACTTTCTTTTTTTTATGATTTATTTATTTATTTGAAAGTCAGAGTTACACAGAGAGAGAAGGAGAGGCAGAGAGAGAGAGAGAGAGAGGTCTTCTATCCTCTGGTTCACTCCCCAATTGGCTGCAACAGCCGGAGCTGCACTGACCTGAAGCCAGGAGCCAGGAGCTTCTTCCGGGTCTCCCATGTGGGTGCAGGGGGCCCAAGGACTTGGGCCACCTTCTACTGCTTTCCCAGGCCATAGAGAGAGCGGGGTCAGAAGTGGAGCTGACGGGACTTGAACTGGCGCCCACATGGGATGCTGGCACTGCAGGCAGCGGCTTTACTTGCTACACCACAGCGCCGGCCCCTCAAGTTACTTTAACACTGCTGCCCACCTTGTACCATGCAAGAGCTTTAGCTCCGTGTCGGATTGCCTAAGCTAGACAGCAACACCACCAACAACTGAGCAGTTTCCTCTGTCCCTTCTATATCTGGCTTTGCCCAAATATAGCTCTCTTGCACCTGTTTCTCCATTATTGGCCAAAAATACATGATAATTATTTTTATATAGCCCACAAAGAAAGGAAGTTAATTACAACAAAAATGTTAAAATGCATTCAGTGAAGAGAAAAATGCCCTATCAAGACAACTGTGTTTCTATGGAATTAAAGAATAGGTTATCAGAAAAGGGAACGATGACTCATGCTGAAGCTTGGGTATTTTGTTGAAATCATTAAACATTTTTAATTTTTAAAAAAGGTTTTAACAAAGGGAAATCATGTAGTAACTGTCACTCATTTTTATCAAATTTATAACATTCCAATAAGAGCTATGGAACACTACTTAATGTATATGGTATCTGAAACCCAGGTCAAAATGAGCTGCTGCTGTCTTTTAGATAACTGCTTTGACAATTAAATTTTAAAAATGTATGGATCCAGAATTGTGGCATAATCAGGTAAAGCCACTGCCTGCAATGGTGGCATCCCATATGGGCACTGGTTCAAGTTCCAGAAGCTCTACTTCTGATCCAGCTCCCTGCTGATGGCCTGAGGAAACATTGGAAGATGGGCTGAGTGCTTGGGCCCCTGCACCCATGTGGGAGACCCAAAAGTTATTCCAGGATCTTGGCTTTGGTCTGGCCCAGCCCTGGCCATTGTGGCCATTTGGGGAGTGAAGCAGTGGATGGAAGATTTCTCTCTCTCTTTCTTTTGGTCTTTCTCTCTGTGTCTCTCTCTGTAACTCTGTCTTTCAAATAAATAAAATAAATCTTTAAAATTTTGTAATTAACAAGCAACTTATGTATACATAAAGCATCAATTTTAAAGAATACTTTGAGGGGCCAGAATTGTGGTGCAGTGAGTTAAGCTGCTACCTGCGATGCCAGCATCTGATATCAGAGTGCCAGTTGGAGTCCCAGCTGCTCCAGCTTCTATACAGCTCCTGGTTAATGTGCCTGGAAAGGCAGTGGAGGATGGCCCATGCACTTGGGCCCCTGCACCCATGTGGGAGACCCAGATGGAGGCCCTGGATCCTGGTTTTAGCCTGGCCCAACCCTGGCCATTGCAGGTGCTTGGGGTGTGAATGAGTGGATGAAGATCTCTCTGTCTTCTCCTCTCCCTCTCTGTCTTCCTGCCTTTCAAATAAGTAAATAAATCTTTTTTTTTTTTAAATAAACCTTTGAAATTCTTGAAAAGAGCTTACCTATCTTTTTTTTTTTTTTTTTGACAGGCAGAGTGGACAGTGAGAGAGAGAGACAGAGAGAAAGGTCTTCCTTTGCCGTTGGTTCACCCTCCAAGGGCTGCTGTGGCCGGCGCACCGCACTGATCCGATGGCAGGAGCCAGGAGCCAGGTGCTTCTCCTGGTCTCCCATGGGGTGCAGGGCCCAAGCACTTGGGCCATCCTCCACTGCACTCCCTGGCCACAGCAGAGAGCTGGCCTGGAAGAGGGGCAACCGGGACAGAATCCGGCGCCCTGACGGGGACTAGAACCCGGTGTGCCGGCGCCGCAAGGCGGAGGATTAGCCTAGTGAGCCGCGGCGCCGGCTTACCTATCTTCTTTAAACAAGATACTTTCTTTCTTGACAACTTTGTTCAAAAGTTTTTTTTAAATAAATCATACACAGATAAAACCTTCATCTAATTCAAATCTGAATTAGAAATCCTAAATTTCTTAGTTATTAATACTAAGTTATACTGTAGGGAATAATTCTACCCATAATAAAATTGCTACAAGTTTCAGAATTGGTGCCACAAAGCTCTCAAAGGTCTCAGAAGACTTATAAGCTCCACTTAAATTTACGCTCCAGGTGGACATTTGGCGTAGCAGGTAAGCCACTGCTTGGGATGCCTGCGTCTGAGTCTTGGCCTGCTCCTATGATTAGCTTCCTGCTAACGCAACCCTGGGAGGCAACAGGTAAGGGCTGCAGCACCACCAACTGCAAGTCGAGCAGGAGGAGCAAGCGGCCCTGCTGCAGGTTTGTCTTGACCGGGAGCATTCTGAGCATCACCCCAGCGGCAATGCAGACATCACTGTCACAGAGCGCCCCGGACAACGACCATGGCCTGGCGCTTCCACCCACGGTTCCCTGCTAGACCGTCTTCTGCAATGAGGATTTTCTAAAGAAGCTCTGCAGGCTCTTTCTAATCTCCATCACAAGAATAAAAGGCAAAGAATGTTCTACAAAGGTGGTTCTTTCTCTTTTCTACTGATGCCGCTCAGACGTTTCATTAAGTATTAAATAGGACTAGTGGATATTTACCACTTGGTAGTGTAATGAAAACAGGAACTTACCCTTTCTTCTTCTTTAAAGATGCATTTATTTATTTGGAAGGCAAAGTTACAGAAAGAGAGGGAGAGAAAGCACCCTCTTTCATCTACTGGCTCACTTCCCAAATGGTCACAACAGCCAGAGCTGGGCCAGGCCAAAGCCAGGAACCTGGAGCTCATCCGTGTCTCCCATCAGGGTGGCAGGACCCCAAGCACTTGGGGCCATCTTCCACTGCTTTCCTGGGCACATTAGCAGGGAGCTGCACTGGAAGTGGAGTAGCCGGGATTTGAACTGACGCTCGTATGGGATACCGGCTTCACAGGCAGCCACTTAACCCACCGCACCACGACCGCAGCCCCAGGATTTACCCTTTCCATTAAAAATGTGTAACACTTGTAACTGGTGATTGTTATTGCATAGATCTTGATCATGGGCAACGTTCGTACCTGCCAGCACCTAGCAATCCTCTCAAAAATACTTGGCTGTGTGCTATTTTCAGAGAAAGACAGCTCTGAATCAAATGAGTGCCCCCCGGTGATGAGAGTTCAATATTGCAAGGAAGAAAAGCAACACCGAGTTACTACTCAGATCCTTCACATGGGTTCTTTCCCTGCTTTCACAGAGGATAACGCTTCCCACAGGGTTGGTTTGTCTGTTTTTGTTTTTCAAGATGTATTTATTTATTTGAAAGTCAGAGTTACACAGAGAGAGAAGGAGAGGGAGAGAGAGAGAGAGAGAGAGGTGTTCCATCCGCTGGTTCACTCCCCAGATGGCCACAATGGCCAGAGCTGCACTGATCTGAAGCCAGGAGCCAGGAGCTTCTTCCCAGTCTCCCATGTGGGTGCAGGGGCCCAAGGACTTGGGCCATCTTCCACTGCTTTCCCAGGCCACAGCAGAGAGCTGGATTGGAAGTGGAGCAGCTGGGACTTGAACCCAGTGCCCATATGAAATGTCCCCACCACAGGCGGCAGCTATACCTGCTATGCCACAGTGCCGGCCCCCCAACAGGGTTTCATTTTCAGATAATCCACGTACCTCAGCTAAGAGAGTCTTGTTTTTCACCAACAAGCCAGCAAGTTCAGGACGAGCTGGGTCAGCTGTCCTTTTATTATACATGTTTGGGTTCCTGTTGGGAACCTACAAAGAAAATTACCAATTAGTTGATTGAACATGCCCCTTACAGATCAAAACCCACAATATTCCAGCACACACAAACTCAAATAAGCAGTTCTAAATACAACACAACTGTAAAATATTGATTTGGGGCATTACCCTAACAAACACAGAGGTCCTGGGAAAACAGCCAGTAGCACCTGAAAGGCGACTGAACATTTTCCTATAAATTATTACTTACTAGACATACTTACCGACCACAGGTAAATGCAGTGTGTTCAAACAGAAACAACTGCTGAGTATAGGAATCAAAATGTCTAAGGAGATTTTCATGCAAATCTAGGAAAATGTTCACAGAAACTGTAATTGTTAGAGTCAGTAATGAGATATTTACTAGTTTGTAAAATTTCCCTTTACAAATAAATTGCTAAGCACAAATAGTTTCTTTAAAAATCTGATTTTAGTGGATTAGCATCAATTTTGCTTTTAAAAATTGTTTTTTAAAAATTTAATTTGAGGGGCTGGCGCTGTGGTGTGGCAGGTAAAGCTGCCACCTGTAGCGCTGGCATCCCATACGGGCACCGGTTCATGTCCCAGCTGCACTTGCGATCCAGCTCTCTGCTACGGCCTGGGAAAGCAGTAGAGGATGGCCCAAGTGCTTGGGCCCCTGCACCTGCGTGGAAGACCTGGAAGAAGCTCCTGGCTCCCAGCTTCGGATCAGCGCAGCTCCAGCCGCTGCGGCCAGTTGAGGAGTGAACCCACAGATGGAAGACCTCTCTCTCTGCCTCTGCCTCTCTGTAACTCTTCCTTTCAAACAAATAATGTTTTTTTATTTGAGAGAGAAAGAGAGAGAGTGTGCCCGTTTATGGGTTCACTTCCCAAATACCCACAATAGCCTGGGGCCAGGACGCTGAAGTCAGGAGCAGGGAGCTTAAGCCAGGTCTCCCATGGGGGTTGCAGGGAGCCAACTACTCTAGCCATCACCTGCTGCTTCCCAGGGGACACATCAGCAGGAAGCCAGAACCCGGAACACAGCCAGGACTTTTTCAACAACATCTTAACATCTAGGCCAAATGCCTGCCACAACAGCAATTTTTATTTATTTGTTTTCACTTTATTTGAAAGGCGGAGAGCTTGGATCTGCTGGTTTACTCCCCACGTGCCCACAACAGCAAGGGCTGGACCAGGCTGAAGCCAGGAGCTCGGAACTCCTTCTTGGTCTCCTGCCTGGTGGCAGGGAGTCAGGGACTTGAGCCATCACCTGCCAGGATCACACACGCAGGAGTTGCACAGAGCACATAGCTGAGACGCAAACCAAGCAGATCAAATGGGACACGGGTGTCCCAAATGCTCCCCCCCCCCAATTTTTTTTGACATGTCTATACTGAGGGCGAAAATTAGGACACATTTACCTAAATTACAATCCTCCCCATTCTCAAAAGGATATAAAATACTCGAAATTAAAGTTTGCAGAACTTTCACTAAGGACAAAGTATATGTGATTCAAGTAAGAAAAATGCATTAACTTAAGTCACTAAAAAGATTGTGAGAAGGGGCTGGTACTGTGGTGCAGCGGGTAAAGCCACTGCTTGCAGTGTTGGCATCCATATGGCTGCCGGTTCGAGTACCAGCTGCTCCACTTCCAATCCAGCTCTCTGCTATGGCCTGGGAAAGCAGAAGAAGATGGCCCAAGTCCTTGGGCCCCTGCACCCGCGTGGGAAGACCCAGAGGAAGCTCCTGGCTCCTGGCTTCGGATCAGTGCAGCTCTGGCCATTGTGGCCATCTGGGGAGTGAACCAATGGATGGAAGACCACCCCACCTCTCCTTCTCTCTCTGTGTAACTCTGCCTTTCAAATAAATAAATAAATACATCTTAAAAATAAAGTGAAGGAAATATGATAAATGTCTGCTAGAATTTTTTACTGAATGAAATTATGTTTTAAGATTAAGAGTTAGATATCTCAGCTGGCGCCGTGGCTCACTAGGCTAATCCTCCACCTTGCGGCGCCGGCACACTGGGTTCTAGTCCTGGTCGGGGCACCGGATTCTGTCCCGGTTGCCCCTCTTCCAGTCCAGCTCTCTGCTGTGGCCCGGAACTGCAGAGAAGGATGGCCCAAGTGCTTGGGCCCTGCACCCCATGGGAGACCAGGAGAAGCACCTGGCTCCTGCCTTTGGATCAGCACGGTGCGCCGGCCGCAGTGCGCCAGCTGCGGCGGCCATTGGAGGGTGAACCAACAGCAAAAGGAAGACCTTTCTCTCTGTCTCTCTCTCTCACTGCTCTCACTGTCCACTCTGCCTGTCAAAAAAAAAAAAAAAAAAAAAAGAGTTAGATATCTCTAATGGTGAGTTTATCACTATCAGGCCTTTAAAAAAAATGTCTAATGGATGTAGTTCGCATGGACAAAAAATAAACTCAGGGTTGGTGTTGTAGCACAGCAGGTTAATCGCCACCTGTGGTGCCAGCATCCCATATCAGAGTTCCAGCTCAAGTCCTGGCTGCTGTGCTTCCAATCCAGGTCCCTGCTAATGGCCCTGCAAAGGCTGCAGAAGATGGGCCAAGTGCTTGGGCCCTGCCACTCACATGGGAGACCAGGGTGGAGTTCCATACTCCTGGCTTTGACCTGGCCCAGCCCTGGCCATTGCAAACAGCTCACTGGGGAGTGAACCAGTGGATGGAAGATCTCTGTCTCTCCCTCTCTGTCACTCTGCCTTTCAAATAAACAAACAACAAATAAATCTTTAAAAACTTTGATGGATAAATAGCTTATGGCATATTCATATACTATATGTACTATAGAGTAATGGAAATTATTTAATTGTAAATACATCAAACAGATCCCACTAAATAGTCATTACAAAAGAATAAAAATAATATAACTACATCAAATATATTAGATTGAGGTGAGATAGAAATTGAGATGATGGAAAAAAATGAGAGGGAGGTGCCTTGAACAAAATAATGATAATATGTCATGAATTAAATGATTAATTGATTGAGATATAAAACAAAAAAATAAATTGATAAAAATATGCTAAGTATTTTATTTACTATATCACAATATCACATAGATTCCAAGCACAATTACAAAAAGAAATAAATAATAACTAATATCCAATTAGGCTCTGAATTGGTAAAAATAAGAAATATTCAACATATATAACCTATTTTTATAGACAACTACTTTTTTTTTTTTTTTTTTTGACAGGCAGAGTGGACAGTGAGAGAGAGAGACAGAGAGAAAGGTCTTCCTTTTCCATTGGTTCACTCCCCAATGGCCGCTGTGGCCGGCGCACCGCGCTGATCCGAAGCCAGGAGCCAAGTACTTATCCTGGTCTCCTATGGGGTGCAGGGCCCAAGCACTTGGGCCATCCTCCTCTGCACTTCCGGGCCACAGCAGAGAGCTGGCCTAGAAGAGGGGCAACTGGGACAGAATCCGGCGCCCCGACCGGGACTAGAACCCGGGGTGCCAGCACCGCAGGCGGAGCATTAGCCTAGTGAGTCGCGGCGCCAGCAGACAGCTACTTTTAAATACAGCTCAAAAATTTTCCTTACTTCTTCATAGTTTAAAAATAAAGACAAGTAGGCATGTTATGTAAGGATACTTAGTTGTTTATATAAGAAAACATCAAAATGTATTTAAGTATGACATAGAAACATGATGTATCACGGAACTGACGCAGCAGTTAACACGAATGAATTAAACTCAAGTGAATCAAACAGAATTGATAAAAAATACAAGACTGTATGAAAGTAGCAAGGCAGAAAGTTATACCCCTAGAAGAGGTGGCAGAAATGCCCAAAATACTCTCTTTCTCTGGCTCTACCTCTCTCTGTAACCCTTTCAAATAATAAATAAAATAAATCTTAAAAAAAAAAAAGAAATGCCCAAAACAACATTAGAAGCATTCTCATGCATGTTAGTATTAAACATGTAAACACAGGGGCTGGTGTCATGGCGCATAGGTTAATCCTCCGCCTGCAGCACCAGCATCCTATATGGGTGCCGGTTTGAGTCCCAGCTGTTCCACTTCCAATCCAGCTCTCTGCTATGGCCTGGGAAAGCAGTAGAAGATGGTCCAAGTCCTTGGGCCCCTGCATCCGTGTGGGAAACCCAGAAGAGGCTCCTGGCTCCTGGCTTCAGATCGGTGCAGATCTGGCTGTTGTGGCCCTTTGGGGAGTGAACTATCCAATGGAAAACCTCTCTCTCTCTCTGCCTCTCCTCTCTCTGTGTAACTCTGACTTTCAAATAAATAAATAAATCTTAAAAAAAAAAATGTGGACATAGAAGCTCCTACCTAATTCAGACTAATTGTTACCTTTGGAAAGAAAAAAGAAGTCCAGGATGGTGAATAAGACTTTCACCTGGGTTTGTAACTGCAGCTCCCCCAATATCCTCCTCTCTCATGACCCAGAGCCTGGGGCCCCGTATCTCCCTGCAGCCCAGCCACCAAGGAGGCCCCTGCTCAACAGTGCTGGGAGTGCCCAGGATTTTCACTGGCTGATGACTCACTCCTCTTGTTCAGTCTTTTTACATCTCCCATCTCAAGAGTGGGCTATGGGACCTAAGAATGAGTGTGTTATATTAGTCTCCGGAGTTTTCAGTATACTTGAAATCAAATGCAAAAATTGAAACTTACAATCATAATCAAGTTGATTTTTGAAATCCCCCAACTAAACTACCAGATGACAAGAACAACTTTCTGGTATTGTATCATAATTCAATCTAGACCTTAATATATGAGGGTACTTCAAAAAAATCATGGAAGATGGATTAAAAGACAAATTTTGGCGTGGAAACTTTGAAATCCATGCCTATTTTTTTTCATATTACATATTTTTCATCGACTTTCTATTACTGCTATACTTGGTCCCAAAGAAAACGTGTTTTTTAAATTCACTTGTTGAGGCCAGCGCTGTGACATAATAGACTAAACCTCTGCCTATAGTGACGGTGTCCCATGTGGGCGCCGGTTCTAGTCCCGGCTGCTCCTCTTCCGATCCAGCTCTCTGCTCTGGCCTAGGAAAGCAGTAGAAGATGGCCAGCAGCCTCATGGGAGACCTGGAGAAAGCTCCTGGCTCCTGGCTTTGGATCTGCTCAGCTCTGGCCATTGCAGCCATTTGGGAAGTGAACCAGTGGATGGAAGACCTTTCTTTCTCTCCCTTTCTCTGTATGTAACTCTACCTCTCAAATAAATAAATAAATAAAAAGCATTTAAAATGTAAAAAATTCAGGTTTTTTTCAAGTTTTTTTTGTTGTATTTTTAAAAATGTTTATTTATTTGAAAGATAAGTAATACAGAGGGAGGCAGAGACAGAGAAAGAAACCTTCCATCTGTGGGTTCACTCCTCAAATGTTCACGATAGTCAGGGCTGGGCAAGGTCAAAGCCAGGAGCCAGGAACTGCATCCTGGGCTCCTGACTGGGTGATGGGTCCGAGCGCTTGATATCGTCTGCTGCTTCCTGGGTGTGTGAGCAGGGAGCTGGATCAGAAGTGGAGCAGTGCTCCAAAATGGGATGCAGGCATCACACAAAGGCGGCTTAACCTGCTGTGTCACCACACCCACGGCAAGCTTTCAATTCTGTAATTCACTTAAAAGGAAGCTCCGAATTAAGTGAGGATTAGTTGACAATAAGATTATGATGACCTCTTTAATATTCTTTACAATTGTGTAATGCACTGGTGCATATTTTCATATTGTTATATTCCATGCAACATCCTTCATTGGAGTGCTGGTTTGACTCCTGGCTTATGGCCATCTGGGGAGCGAACCAGCGGACAGAAGATCGATCTCCCTTGTCTTTCCCTCTCTTTCTGTTCTGCATTTTAAAATAAATAACATAAATCTTAAAATAAAATTCCTAGAAGGTTTCATGAACACTTATCTTATGTGTTTTAAAGAAGCTTAAGCTTAACTAAAGATTGAAGAGCACTGTCCTTTTGCATTGTATCATTTTTTTTTAATGATTTTATTTATTTATTTGACAGGCAGAGTTAGTGAGAGAGAGAGAGAGACAGAGAGAAAGGTCTTCCTTCCATTGGTTCACCCCCCAGTGGCCGCTGCGGCTGGAGCTACACCGATCCAAAGCCAGGAGCCAGGTGCTTCCTCCTGGTCTCCCATGCGTTTGCGGTCTCCCAAGCACTTGGGCCATCCTCCACTGCCCTCCTGGGTCACAGCAGAGAGCTGGACTGGAAGAGGGGCAACCGGGACTAGAACCCAGCACCCACATGGGATGCCGGCGCCGCAGGCGGAGGATTAACCTACTGCGTCACAGCGCCGGCCTCTGTATCATTTACTTTTAGTGTAATACACACCCGTCCCCAGCAGACTATGCTTGTAGTCATTTGAAGCCACCAAGCGGAGGAAATAGAACATTTCCAGCGAGCCCATCCTCCCCAAGCCTCCTCTTCAGACGTTATCTCTGAGCTCCCACTCAAGGCCAGATGGATCTTTCTCATGGTCTTAGAAAAACCAAAGGAAGGGACATCATCTGACTCAAAAAGATATTTACGGGTGAGTATTCGGCCTAGCGGCTAGCAGGCCAGTTATCCTGTATCTGAATGCCCGTATGGCTCATACGCAGCTCTGCTTCTGACTCCAGCCTCCTGCTAATGCAGATCCTGGAGGCACTGGTGAGGGCTCAAGTCCTGGGCTCCTGCCACCCACGTGGCAGACCTGGCCTGGGACTGTTGGGGATATTTTTGGGGAGTGAACCAGTGGATAGGAGCTCTCTCTTTGCCTCTGGCATAATTAATTAAAAAAAAAAAGTGGACCATCTATTGTGGCACAGTGGGTTAAGCTGCCACCTGCAAGGCTGGCGTCTCACATCAGTGCTAGTTCAAGTGCTAGAGGCTCATCTTCCACTGTAGCTCCCTGATAATACACCCGGGAAAGCAGTGGAAGATGGGCCAAGTGATTGGGCCCCTGTATCCACGTGGGAGACCTGGAAGAAGGTCTAGGCTCCTGGCTCCAGCCTAGACCAGCTCTGGCCATTGTGGCCATTTGGGGAGAGAGCCAGTAGAAGGAAGATCTCTCTCTCTCTCTTTCTCTGTCTTGCTCCCTCTCTCTATAACTCTACCTTTCAAATAAATAAAAAATAGATAATTAAAATTTTTACAAGATATTTAATATCCAGAAAGATTCTCATTATGTTCTAGCCTAATAAAAGAAGTCTATGCACCTGGCATTTAGCCTAGTGGTTCAGACACCGGTTAGGATGCGTGCATCCTGTGTCGCAGCACCTGGGTTCAATGGCTCCAGCTCCTGATTCCAGTTTCCTGCTGATGCAGACCCTGGGAGGCAGCTGTGATGGCTCAGATAATCAGGTTCCTACCACCCACATGGGTGACCTGGATTGAGCTCCTGGCTTCTTGAGTTCATTTTGATCCAATTCTGACCGTTGTGGGCACTGAAGAAGTGAACCAGCAAATGGGAGCTCTTTCTCTCTCTCTCTCAAAAAAAAAAGTTTTAAAATAAAAAAGAACTCTGTAAACAAAGTGGTAATATGATGCACTAAAAATAATGGGAGTCCGCTTACTTTGTTATACCTCTAAGCCACTGTTCGCTCTCTAGCGCTGTTACTAACCTACAAAATGATGGCATTAAAACCCTGTCACAGCTCATTTCTATACTGTTTTTGATTGTGGGCCTCGGTGAAATGTGAGAACCTCCAAACAGGCTAAAATAAAAAAAAATTCATTGGAGGGGGGGTCCATTAGATTAGGATGTTTCATTACTCCTTTTTCTAGGGTCCAGCCAGGAATCAAGCTGGCTCTGTGGAGTACTGGGTGCTGGATCGGGTTCTGCCTCTACTTCTGATCCAGCTCTCTGCTATGGCCTGGGAAAGCAGTAGAAGATGGCCCAAGTCCTTGGGCCCCTGCACCCACGTGGGAGACCTGGAAGAAGCTCCTGGCTTTGGATCAGCTCAGCTCCAGCTGTTGCAGCCATTTGGGGAGTGGAAGACCTCTCTCTCTGTCTGTAAGTTTGCCTCTCAAATAAATTAAAAAAAAAGTTGGGAAATCACTTGATCCCATGTCTTGGATCATTCACCTGCACAGAAACGGTCAGGGTGACAGCACAGGCAAACGGGCAACAGAACTGGACAGTCTTCTTCCTCTAGCTCTCAGCCATGCAGAAAGTTGCTTTACCCTCACCTTCTGAGAACAGGGACAAAGTAAATGCAAAGGACAACTCACCCCCGGGGGATTTTTCTGAGCCGTGTGAGCTGACTGATGCCTGGCTTCTGATGGCTTAGCCTCGCGGGGCTCTTTGGTTTGGCCTGTAGCAAGCCTTCCTGGATCCGAATGGCTTAAAAACTGCAGTGGGCTGGACATGTTGGAGACACCCAAAGCATGAAGCAGATCTAGGAACGGTGAGCCACGGTGCTTCCGGAGGCGGTCTGCGTACAGCAGTCAGGAGGAGATGCTGACATCTGCCCAGGGCCAATGGCAATGTCTTCTAGAAGGTTCCACCTCAGTTCCTCAGTGCTTAGCCAGACCTCCAGAGGGGCTGCCCAGTGACCAACTGTGGCTTGGCGACAAGGCAGAGCTGGTCTCTAAAGACAGCCATAAAACAGTGTTTAGATTGCAATTGGTTGAAGCAGCCTGCTAATACATATATACACTCGTTTTATTATTTGTACATGCTGTTTAAGAATCATATATTTGGGGACCTGACTTGCAAACTTCCTTCATTTTCAATTTCTCAATCAATCTGTTGAAAATGCTAACTATATCCCTCAAGATTCAGCCATAAAAGTCAAAGCCGAGTTAAACACGTAGCAGGTTAAGCTGCGGCCTGTAGCCCATAAGGGCGCCAGTCCAAGTTCCAGTGTCCCACTTCTTTTTTTTTTTTTAAGATTTATTTATTTACTTGAAAGTCAGAATTACAAAGGAGAGAGAGAGAATCTTCCATCTACTGGTTCCCTCCCCCAGTGGCAGGGCCAGGCCAGACGGAAGCCAGGAGCCAGGAGCTTCATCCAGGTCTCCCAAGTGGGCACTGGAGCCCAAGCACCTGGCCCATCCTCCACTACTTCCCCAAGTGCATTAGCAGGGAACTGGATGAGAAGTGGAGCAGCTGGGACTCAAATCGGTGTCCGTATGGGATGCTGGCACTGCAGGTAGGGGCTTAACCCCCTACGCCAACATGCTGGGATTTCTACGATCAGGGAATATATTCCAGGGAGGAAAAAAAAAGATATTTAAAGACTGCGCACTGGAGGTCTGCGTTAAATGGTCAAAAGTACCAGAATGAGAAGAAAAAAAGAAAAATCAGGATTATGACTTGCAGAACCTGGAACAGAAAGCATAAAGACCTGCTTTCCTTCACTAACTCTGAAGCCTGTTTTGAAGTGCCTCCAGTCATTCATTCTAGATTTATCGGTTTGTTTGTTTGTTTGTTTTTTGACAGGCAGAGTGGACAGTGAGAGAGAGAGACAGAGAGAAAGGTCTTCCTTTTGCCGTTGGTTCACTCTCCAATGGCCGCAGCGGCCAGCGCGCTGCGGCCGGCACACCGCGCTGATCCGAAGGCAGGAGCCAGGTACTTCTCCTGGTCTCCCATGGGGTGCAGGGCCCAAGCACTTGGGCCATCCTCCACTGCACTCCCTGGCCACAGCAGAGAGCTGGCCTGGAAGAGGGGCAACCAGGACAGAACCTGGCGCCCCGACCGGGACTAGAACCCGGTGTGCCGGTGCCGCTAGGCGGAGGATTAGCCTAGTGAGCAGCGGCGCCAGCGATTTATCGGTATTAAAGGCAACCATTAGAGCACAAATATCTCTAATGAGACTTCTGTCTTTATTTTTATGAGTTGATACCTGGGATCATTACTTTATCAATTCCTTCCCCTAGTACCAAAGGAGAGAATCAAAGAACTAAAGTTTGGGGGCCTGCACTGTGGCACAGTGGGTTAACGCCATTGTGGCCAATTGGGGAGTGGACGATCAGATGGAGGACCTATCTCTCTCTCTCTCTGCCTCTCCTCTCTCTGTGTAACTCTGACTTTCAAATAAATAAATAAATCTTTTTTTTTTTTTAAAAAAAAAAAAGAACTAAAGTTTGGGAGCCAAAACAGAGAACAAATTGCTCCTCAGTCTTGGGATGAGAATGATATGGAGAGAAAGTTCTTAAGAGTCCACCCTTTATTTTCATGTTTACCTTCTTACCATTTTATAAACAAGGAATTTCAATTCTTTTTTAAAAATTTTTTTAAAGATTTATTGATTTGAAAGTCAGAATTAGAACAAGAGGGAGAGAGAGAGAGCGTGCGAGAGAGATCTTCCATCTGCTGATTCATTCCCCAAATGGCTGCAACAGTCAGAGACAGTCCAGGCTGAAGCCAGGAGCCAGGAGCTTCATCTGGGTCTCCCATGTGGGTGTTGGAGCCCAAGTACTTGTCCCATCCTCCTCTGCTTTCCCAAGCACATTAGCGGATAGCTGGATAGGAATTGGAGCAGCCAGGACTCGAACCAGCGACCATATGGGATGCCAGTGCTGTGGGTGGTGGCTTAGCTCTCTGTGCCACAGCGCCACCCAGGAATTTCACCCTCATTGCCGCTAAGAAACAAGCTACTGTGAAGGCCAAGTATATCTTGAGAAGGGTGAGCATATAAATCCTCCAGGATCAGGTCAAGTATCACCTCCTGCAAGATGCCCTTGGTTTCTGCAAAGTGCAGAAATCTCCCTCCCTCCTTTAAGTCGCTATGGTCTGAATGTGTTCTCCCAAATTCATATGCTGAGAACCTAATTGACAATTAACAGTGTTAAGAAGGAGGTTTTCAGGAGGTGACTCAGTCACGCATGCAGATCCCTCGTTGATGAGGTTGGGCCCTTATAAAAGTGTTGGGGGGGGGGCGGCACTGTGGTATAGCGGCTGCTCCACTTCTGATCCAGCTCTCTGCTGTGGCCTGGGAAAGCAGTGGAAGATGGCCCAAGTCCTTGGGCCCCTGCATCCACGTGGGAGACCCGGAAGAAGCTCCTGGCTCCTGGCTTCGGATCAGCACAGCTCTGGCTGTTGTGGCCAGTTGGGAAGTGAACCAGCGGATGGAAGACCTCTCTCTTTCTCTCTCTCTCTCTGTCTCTTTCTCTCTCTCTCTGCTTCTCCTTCTCTCTGTGTAACTTTTTCAAATAAATACATAAATCTTAAAAAAAAAAAACCCTAGTATACGATCTATCCTTTTTTTAAAAAAGCCTCAACACTGTATTATGCAAAGCTTGTGTCTCCCTTACTACATTAACGGTCCCTAACACAGGAATCTATTTCTGGTTCATCTTTATCATCCCACACTAGACCCAGAAAGTCTAGATCAAGCAACTAAAGAACTCAGCAGGAAAAAAAAAAAAGAAACCTAATACAAAATGACCTTGGTGATAGTACTTCTCTCCTAAACTCAGCTTATAAAAACACAGTAAGACGTAGAAGTTCAAAGTAACAAAGAAATGCAGCGATACGACATAACTACACAGTCTGCAGGTACATCAGGCACCGTCGGCTACACCCTTCATTCAGTAAGAAGTAAAGCATGCGTTTTACCCTGTCAGGGACGAGAGCAAACTCCAGAACCCAGGTCAGTTCTCAGAAGAGACCCGAATTGTCTGACTCCTCGTCCTGTGTGAGCGGCTGCCCCACAGTTTGCCTGTGGAATGGTCGCAGACCCAAGTGGCCGTTGCCAGGCAAGCGCATCATAGAGGCCCGAGGAATGAAAAGGGATCTCTTAAAGTGACAGACCTGTGCGCTTTGTCCTAAAACGGGATTTTCATCCAGCGTTAGTAATGCTTAGTGACCAGTCCAGCGTACATGGAAATCTGTGAGATTCTTGGAACAAATTTTCAAAAAATTATAAAGATTTATTTACTTGAAATGCAGAGAGAAAGGGAGAGAGATCTTTCACTCTCTAATTCACTTCCCAAATGGCAGCAATGGCCACGGCTGGGTCGGACCATAGCCAGGAGTCTGGAATGCCAGCCAGGTCTCCTACACGGGTGGCAGGCACCCCGAGCACTTGAGCCATCGTCTACTGCTTTCCTGGGTGCGTTAGAAGGGAGCTGGATTAGAAGTGGAGCAGCCAGGACTCCAACCGGCATCCATAAAGGATGCCAGCTTCACAGGCAGCCGCTTGTACCACAATGCTAACCGTGGAAGAAGTCAAATTTTGGTACTGTAACATACACATCTCATCTAGGGAGAAGAACTTTGAGAGACAGTAAATGATGGTTCCATTTTCTCATTCCTACAGTAAAAAATGACTTCTCTGAAAACCTTGGACTCTGATTCTAGAAAAATACTTTTCAGCAGAAAAATTATGTCCCTACTATGTATTCTTGATGTCCAATCATTAGAATATTCTTCAAATATCATCTATTCTTCAAGGAATACAGGATATTTCAAAAGTTTGTGGACAAATGGAATTAAGTCTAGAATTGTGGTACAGTGAGTTAAACCACTTTTAGGATGCTGGCAACCCATAGCCGAGTGCTGACTCAAGTCCCAGCTCTCTGCTTCCAATCCAGCTGGTGCCTGGAAAGGCAAAGGAAAATGATCCAAGCACTTGGGCTCCTGCCACTCTGTGAGGGAGAAATACGGAGTTCCTCACTTCTGGCTTTGACCTGGCTGCTGCAGCCAACCGGGGAGTGGACCAGCAGGTGGAAGATCTCTCTCTTTTCTTCCTCTCTCTTTCTCTCTCTGTCAATTTGCCTTTCAAATAATTAAATGAGGGGCTGGTGCTGTGGCATAGCGGGTAAAGCTGGCATCCCATATGGGCCAGCACTCCACTTCTAGTCCCAGCTGCTCCACTTCTGATCCAGCTCTCTGCTATGGCCTGGGAAAGCAGTGGAAGATGGCCCAAGTCCCTGGGCCCCTGCACCCACATGGGAGACCTGGAGGAAGCTCCTGGCTCCTTGCTTCAGATGGGTGTAGCTCCAGCTGTTGCCACTAACTGGGGAGTGAACCAGCAGATGGAAGACATCTCTCTCTCCCCCCCCCCACCCCGTGTAACTGTGACTTTCAAGTACAATAAATAAGTCTTTTAAAAAAACACAAATAAATAAATGAATAAAAGGAAAAAGAAAATGAAATTACTATAAGTTTATTTTGCTGCAAAAAACTTGAAGTTCAGGCATACTTTTTAAAATTTTTAAATTATTTTCATTTATTTATTTATTTTTATTTATTTGACAGGTAGAGTTATAGACAGTGAGAGAGAGACAGAGAGAAAGGTCTTCCTTCCGTTGGTTCACTCCCCAAATGGCCGCTATGGCCGGTGCTGCGTGGATCCGAAGCCAGGAGCCAGGTGCTTCTCCTGGTCTCCCATGGGGTGTAGGGCCCAAGCACTTGGGCCATCCTCCACTGCCCTCCTGGGCCACAGCAGAGAGCTGGCCTGGAAGAGGAGCAGCCGGGACTAGAACCCGGCGCCCATATGGGATGCCGGCACCGCAGGCGGAGGATTCACCAAGTGGATCAGGCGGCAGCCCCTTCATTTTATTTTAAAGCAGAAAAACAGACACATGTCTCCTGTGAGGGTGGCCACGATTCACATACTTAGCTTCTCTGAATGCATATTAGCGGGAAGCTGGATCAGAAGTGGAGGCAGGACTCCCAGCACTGTGATACGGATGCGAGAACCCAAGCAGCATCTTAACCATTGCACACATGCCTGCCCCATTTTCTTCATAATAGGCATTTTCCATGAATTTTTGATGACCCCATGAACTGACACCCAATTTTGACCAAATTGGTTGCAGGGGAAGACTAGCCATAATTTTTTTTTATTAAAAAAAGATTTATTCATTTATTTGAAATGCAGAGTTACAGAGAGACAGAAAGAGCAAGAGGCGGAGGGAGGGGGGTCTCCCATCCACTTGTTCACTCCCCAGTGGACCAAAATGGCCGGAGCTGTGCTGATCCGAAGCCAGGAGCCAGGAGCTTCTTCTAGGTCTCCCACGTGGGTGCAGAGGTCCAAGGACTTGGGTCATCTTCTACTGCTTTCCCAAGCAATAGCAGAGAGCTGGATCGGAAGTGGAGCAGCTGGGACTTGAACCGACGCCAATATGTGATGCTGGCACTGCAGGCAGTGGCTTATCCACTATACCACAGTGCCGGCCCCAACACTTTTATATATCTATAAAAGTGGCACTGTGCATATGTGTGTGTGTGTCTGGGTGTGTGAATAGTACTGTAGAATAAATTCCTAGAAATGGAATTATGAGATCAAAAAAAGCACATTAGAATTTTTGATAAATATGATCAAATTATTCTTCAAAAAGATTCTAACAATGGAAGCTGCCGGGGTTGGTGTGTGGTGCAGAGGGTTAAGTTGCCATCTACAGCACCAGCAGCCCATATGAGCACCGGTTTGCACCCCAGCTAATCCACTTCTAATCCAGCTCCCTGCTAATATGCCTGGGAAAGCAGTGGAAGATGGCCCAAGAGATTGGGTCCCTGCACCCATGTGGGAGACCGGACAGAGTTCTAGGCTCTTGAGGTCAGCCTGGCCCAGACCCATTTGAGGAGTGACCCAGTGGTGGAAGATCCCTCTCTGTAACTCTGCCTTTTAAATAAATAAATAAAATATTTTTTTAAAGATTTATTTATCTGAAAGTTACAGAGAGACAGAGAGAGAGAGACAGAGAGAGAGAGAGATATCACCCATCTGTTGGTTTACTCCCCAGATGGCAGCAATGGCAGGAGCTGTGCTGATCTGAATCCAGGAGCCAGGAGCTTCTTCCAGGTCTCCCACATGGGTGCAGGGGTCCAAGGACTTGGGCCATCCTCCACTGCTTTCCCAGGCTATAGCAGAGAGCTGGATTGGAAGAGGAGCAGCCGGCACTAGAACTGGTGCCCATATGAGATGCCAGCACCTCAGGTAGAGGATTAACCTACTGCGCCACAGTGTGCCGGCCTCTGCTACCACACTTTCAAAGCAGCTCTTTCCTGCCTCCCATCATGGCTCCCTAACCTCCTAACTTGTCTGTTTAATCTCTAATAGTAGATTTCGTATTTCATTATTGGCTCATTGTCTCATCCACTGTAATCTGATCCGAGAGCAGAACAGTTCACTAGTGTCTGTTTATGAGGGTCTCTCCTCCGTGAAGGGCAGTGCTGTGGGCACTCCATGGCTACCCAACAATGACTCGCTCAAAGCATGAGTGAAGCACACAGCTCCTACACAGATGTTAAGTACGAAATTAGAGGTTAGTCTCTGTGCGTGAGAGCGGCTGAAGGACAAAAACGGGAATTTTGCAAAGTAGAGAAGATGCAGAGAAGCCCAGCATTTGCACCTCAAAAGTCTTGCCAGTCACATAACCTTGTTAGGTGGGTCCCAGCCCTCCCCGGGGGGTGGGAGGGAGCGGCTTAGGGGAATCTTCCCTGCCCTATGGTAGGGGCTATCAGGCCCAATAACACTGGCTGATAAAAATCCTGGAAGGAATTTCACTAATTCCACGCCCAGAAGAGGAAGGGGGAGGAGAAATGGCAGGCCACACCCACACCTATGGAACTGCCACTCTGAAGGGACTCTGCTCTCAGGCCTCTCCAGAGGTGCCCGCCTTGCTGGTTGGCTAGCAAGTTCACGCTACTCTCACATCTAAGTTCTTTTCTTGTGCAAAGACAAGAACCTCTGATCCAGCCATCTCCGGAAATATAGATACCATGTGCAAACTTCAAAATGCTTGTGGAAAAATGGAATTAAAAGATAGAAAAGACGGCGCCGGCGCTGTAGTGTAGCAGGTAAAGCCGCTGCCTGCAGTGCCAGCATCCCATATGGGCACCAGTTCGAGTCCTGGCTGCTCCACTTCCAATCCAGCTCTCTGCTGTGGCCTGGGAAAGCAGTAGAAGTCCTTGGGCTCCTGCACCCTGGTGGGAATGTCGTAGGCAGGCATATAGGATAGAATTGATCAGGTTTGTGAACTGAAAGACCACGCCTTCACCTGCTGTGTGATCTCACATCCCTTCCTGACACCACACCTGGGCACCCACCTGCCCACCAAACCATGTTAACAACTCCCCTTTGAAAAACATATAAAAGGAGAACCCCCAAATCGCTCTCTGCCTCTGCTTTGCTGCCCGTGATAAGCTGTGCATAGCTGCTCAAGACGCTTGCTGCACATGGCTTTTGGCCTGCTTTCTGCTTGGCATGGACTCCAACCTAATTTCCCGATTTCCTCCTCTCCTTAGATTAGACTGACGCCCTCACTCTCCTATGCATTTCTCCCACTGAAGAAAAAGCTTAAAAACTTATCATGCTGCCTCGGTCATTTGTGCCAGTATTCAGAATTCTTCTCTGAATATTAGGCAAGAACCAACACAGGCTCATTAATATTGGGGATTTATTGAGCGCACAGTGATATCCTATGGCACCCCATATTCCAATATCAGGACGACCCAAGGAAGCTCCTGGCTCCTGGCTCCGGATCTGTGCAGCTCTGGCCGTTGCGGCCAACTGGGGAGTGAACCAGCAGATGGAAGACCTCTCTCTTTGCCTCTCTCTCTGTGTAACTTTCACTTTCAAATAAATAAATCTTAAAAAAAAAAAAAAGACAGGTTTTGGTGCAAAAATTTTTGACATCCCTGAGTAATTTTTTCATAACACATTCTGCAAAACCTTAAAAAACTATGTATTTTACAGACAGAGCTTCCATCCACTGGTTCATTCCCCGAATGCCTGCAATACCCTGGTGAAGCTGGGAACACAAG